CATTTTCTGAAGAAGGGTCTAGACCCGAAATGTCAGCTTTCCTGCTCCTCTGATGCTGCTTGGCCTGCTATGTTCATCCAGCTCTACACCTTGTTATCACATATTATTATGAAGTGGAGGTCGACTATTCTCTGATAACTAAAACTGAAAGACCACAGAGAGGCTCGCTTTGCCTCATAATCTGTTAAAGGAAGTGTGAAAAGTGGTATAGCTTGCCTCTCACCCCCAATCTGTTATAAAGGAGATGTTAAATGAAATGAACTCTACAATCACTCTACAATCCACAAGTAACTATTTATTTATTTAACTCTAACAGTGAACAAATTTACAGAACTACAAACAAACCCAACAATTCCCCCAAATACTAACTATTCCCAAATAGAACAAAATTCTAATGGTATGCTGTTCCAATAAATACAAGTCCCACTTACATAAACAAAACTAATAAAAGCAACTTAAAACTTAGTCTCTCGAAATTACAGCCAGAATACATTTTCCAGAATGTTCGGTGCCTTCTCTGCTTTTCTTCAGTCAGGATCGCCTTTCTCTGTCAAATTCTTGTATCAGGACTATTAGCTAAGAGTGTAGCTGTCCCTTTAGACAGATGATGGTTTTACAAGAAGCTTACACAATTCTGTGAGAGCCAGCAATTTCCTCATTATGAAAAGATGGCTTCATTATTTCCTCTAAATCTTAACGCCATTACTACTAGATACATTGGTCATTAGTCTAGAGTTACACGCTTCATACTAATTCCATATTCATGTATATAACATTGAACACTACCGTTTCTATCTTATATACACATTTTCCTTTTAAACCCACGATAACGCATCTGCAATAACATTTTTATGAACCGCAACATGTAAAATCTGCAAATTAAATGCTTGTAACACAAAACTCCAATGAAATAGTCTGGTGTTCTTATCTTTAAATCTTTCCAAAAATGTCAAATGGTTGCGCTCAGTGTACCAATTATCTCTGTTACATTGTTTGCAACATAAACATTAAAATGTTTTAATGCCAGCACCAAACTCAATAACTCTTTTTCGATGATTGAATATTTTCTTTGGTGGATATTGAGTTTCTTTGAAAAACAACCAATTGGCCTTTCAATTCCACAATCAACGTCCTGTAACAACATAGCTCCAACCCCTACATGACTTGTGTCAATAGTGACTTAAGGGTTTCAAGGAATTTGGTGTGATTTAAACTGGTGTGGTGGTTTACACGACTTTTAAAGTCTCAAATGCCTCCTGGCATTGATCTGTCCACTGGAATTTCATGTTCTTCTTTAACAAATCTGTCAGTGGTGCTGCAACAGCAACAAAGTTTGGTACAAACGTCCTGTAGAATCCGCTCAGTCCCAAAAATCGTAGCAACCTCTTTCTTTGAGGATGGTCTTGGAAATTCCTTGATGGCCTTCGTCTTCATGTTCCTTGGAGTCATCTATCTGTGTCCGATGTTGTGCCTGAAGACCGTCATTTCTGCCTTCACAAATTCTGTTTTTGCCAACTTTATGATCGGCTTTGCCTTCCATAGTGTCTCAAAGAGCTCTGCAAATGTGCCATTTAATCTGTCCATGAATGGCTAAAGATCACAAAGTCATCTATATAGATGGCACAATTAGTCAATCCTGCCAAAACTCCGTTCATATGTCTTTCAAATGAGGCTGGTGTGTTCTTCTTTCCAAAGGGCATTACTTTAAATTGATATAGCCCATTTGGGATTACAACAGCAGAAACTTCTTTTGCTATCTTTGACAAAGGTATTTGCCAGTAACCACAAAGTAAGTCCAACTTTGTGATGTAAGTGGTTTCATCCTACTTTTTCCACACAGTCCTCCAGCTTTGGCATTGGATATGAGCCTGATTTAGACGTGGCATTGACCTTCCAATAATCTATGTAGAATTGTTGAATACCATCAGGTTTGGGAACCAACATGATCAGCAAACTCCACTCACTATGACTCGGTTCGATGGTGTCTCCTTGGAACATCGCTTCCATTTCCTTCTGTACCTGTGCTGCGTTGAGAGGATTAAGCCTGTAGGGGTGTGGTGTTATCATAACATGTTCTATGGTATTAGTCCTTCCTATTCTATTTCTACATGTGTCCTCATAGTGCTGCAACAAGCCTTTCAATTCAGTTCTCGGTTCCTGAGACAGAGAGCTTACTACCTATCTGATTCTTTAAGAACTTCCTCATTATTCAAATTATTCTGAGGCACATCAAAACCCAAATCATCTAGATTTGATTCCTCACTCTGAGTGACAGTAACTAATGCATGTTTCTCTAGTTCCCCTTCCCTGTCATACTAATGTTTCAGCATGTTCATATGACATACACAATAAATTTTTTCCTTATCTGGCATCTTTACCAGATAATTCATCTGGCTTAACTTCTTCTCAATCTGATAGGGACCACTAAACCTTGCTTTGAAGGAATCTCCTACCACTGATAACAATACTAATAATTTATCTCCATGGGCAAATATACAAATTTTGGATTTCTTATCTGCTTCTTGTTTAATTAGATACTATGCCACCTTCACATGTTGTCTAGCTAATTTACCTACTCTGTTTAATCTTTCTCACCTCAGATACATTATCTGACTGTGAGATTTCTGACCTCTGACCTATCAACCTTTCCTTAATTAATTTTAAAGGCCCTCTTACTTCATGTCCGAATATCAATTCAAATGGAGTAAACTGAGTTGATTCATTCGGAGCATCTCTAATAACAAACAATATAAATGGGATCCCAATCATTTGGTAATTCTGGCAATAAGCCCTCAGCATGGTCTTTAGGGTCTTATGCCACCTTTCCAGTGCTCCCTGGGATTCAGGATGGTACGCACTTGATTTAAAGTGTTGGATGCCTAAACTATCCATGACTTCCTCAAATAATTTGGCAGTAA